TCCTTCTTTTCAATTCCAAAAAGTGCTTGTGTTTTATTTCAAAGCTACTTGCCCAAAGATGTCAATTAACAGAGATATTTCTGTTCAAGAACTTGGTCCAACCCTTTAATCATTGGGTCATTTGACCCAAAACATGGACTAATTTTCCAACTATGATTCACAATAGTACATACAAATAATTGGCAAAAAGAGTGCATTCAGAAAAACATATGCCTGTAGATAGATAGACTGCTTTGTGTATCTCTTAAAGCATTTCAAGATTCAATCACTAAAGTAATTACAATTGGTATTAGGGAAAGCCAAATTTCCCTGAGCCATAGAAGAGAGATGTAAAAAAAAAAAAAAAAAAAAACCAACAGGGCCTGGGGATGTGGCTCAAGCAGTAGCGCGCTCGCCTGACATGCATGTGGCCCGGGTTCGATCCACAGCACCACATACAAACAAAGATGTTGTGTCCACCGAAAACTAAAAAAAGAATAAATATTTTTAAAAAATCCTCTCTCTCTCTTTAAAAAAAAAAAAAACAACAAACAAAAAAGCCCATTGTGTTCACACACTCATGTCTCAACTAAATCATGCTTGCTCATTAATTTGTAATTCAGAGTTTGTGACCTTGTTAATAAGATTAATATCAATGACACAGCTGAAGTCCCACATAAATAGTCTGTTCATCCTTTTATAAACATTTAGCAGGTTGTGGGTCACTTGTCATATAGTGTTTATTATTTTTTCATATATCCTAATTATTTATATATATATTTAGGAGATGATACCATTAATGTCTGAAAAGTGCTTCTCATGCCATAGATATGATTTTACCTGCTGACTCAGAGGTATAAGGAGCCCATGTAACCACGTGGCAATCTAACTTTCAAATTTATGGAACCACTGTTTTGATTCACTCTTTTCCTTGAAACTAAGCTTTGTAGGCCAACAGAAAAAAGGTTGCAGGAATAGAAAACAAAAAAAAATGTACTATTGGGTCATTCTTGATTCCTTAACTCATAAATCTCGGCTATGGGAGAAATAGTGCCATATATTAGATGGCGATTTTTAGAATAAATAGCATTCCAGAGAAAATTGCTCCATCCTTCAAGATATTTCCACAATAAGTGAGTTGCCAAAAGGCCATTCCACAACTCAATCAAGCCATCTGCTTCAGGAGGTGGGGGAAATATTAAGACCACTGAGTTTTATGAGCGTGGGCCCATTGCCATCCTTCATTTGCTGTGCAGTGATTCCTTGAGCAGTAGTAATGCTGTGTGCAATGCTGTTCTGGCATATATAACATTCTCTAGGTCATGGATGATAGTTTTGGCAGAAGTATTGCATGCAGGCAGACAAGTACGTATCAAGAATAATTGTTTATTCTAGTAGGAACAAAACCCTGCTCATTCCATGATAGAAGTGATCCAATGTAACCTTTCCACCAGGTAGGTAACTGACCACTCCAGATGATGATATCATATTAGGGACTCAGTGTTAGCCTCTTTTGCTGGAAGATTAGACACTCAACATGGTCTAAAGGTATGTCAGCCTTGGCTAATGGAAGTTCATGTTGCTGAGCCCCTGAATAACCTCTATCCCTATCACCATCACCATGTTTTTCATAAGCGCATTGGGTAAGGACAGAGGTGACTGGGAAAGAAGCTGACTTGTATCCACAGTGAGTCATTCTATTCCTCAGAATGTTAAAATATTTTTCTAATAAGGTCAGCCTTGGTTAACGGAAGTTCATGTTGCTGAGCCCATAAATAGCCTCTATCCCTATCACCATGACCATGTTTTTCATAAGCCCATTGGGTAAGGACAGAGGTGACTGGGGAAAGAAGCTGACTTGTATCCACAATGAGTCATTCTATTCCTCAGAATATTAAAATATGCTTCTAATAAGGCCATCCTTTAGTAAACTCTCATATGGGACAAAAATATGTTTAAGCTTTTCATCAATTTGAGAGGTCAATATAAATACCTCTTCTCCAGATGCCGTTGTTACCAATTTTTCAACATGCCCTTTCCAAACTCCTCACCTTCCATTAGTCACAGTCCATGAATCAGTCTATAATCATATATCTGTCCATTTTTCCTTCTAGGCAATGTGAAAAACCAGCTACATTGCTTAAACTTATGTCCACTGGGAGGATTTCCCTTCACCATTGTCCTTCAAAGACATCCCAGATATAGGCTACCATGTTGTACCTGTCCACTTTCAATAGTACATGTATTTTATGCAGAACCATCTGTAAACTAGACTTCTCCTCTTTCGTCAACTAATCAAAAGGAAGTCCCCATGAGGTCATAGGTATGACAAAAAAAAAAAAAAGATAGTGTAGCATTATCTGATTCTGTTTTTTGTTACTATAGATATATCTAAGGTTGGATAACCTATAAAGAAAAGAGATTTATGTGGATCACAATTTTGGGGACAGAATGAAAGAACAAGAGAGATGGTCCCATATTTTTAGTCTCTGTATTAGTCAGCATTTTTGCCCTGTGAAAAAAGAACTGACGAGAACAATTTTAAGGTAGAAAAGTTTATTTGGGGCTCACAGTTTCAGTGGTCTCAGTCCATAGATGGCTAACTCCGTTCACTGGGGCCTGAGGTGAGGCAAAACATTATGGCAGAAGTGTTACAGAGGAAAGCATCTGGGAAAATAGCACCAGGAGGGGGGCATGGTGCAAGTGCTCAGCTCAACAAAGACAAAATATATACCCCAAAGGCATGCCCCCACTGACCCACATCCTCCAGTTACATCCTACCTGCCTATGGTTACCACCCAGTTAATCACTATCAGAGGATTAATGAACTGATTAGGTCAGGGTTCACATAATCAAATAATTTCACCTCTTTTTTTTTTTTTTTTTTTTTGACACCAGGGATTGAACTCAGGGGCACTCGAACACTGAGCCACATCCCCAGCCCTATTTTGTATTTTACGTAGACACAGGGTCTCATTGAGTTACTTAGTGCCTTGCTTTTTGCTGAAGCTGGAACTCTCGATCTTCATGCCTTAGCCTCCCAAGCCACTGGGATTACGGGTGTGCACCACTGCGCCCAGTGATCATTTCACCTTTAACTAAATCTTGCATTGTCTCACATTATGAGTTTTGGGGGAACAACTCATATCTAAACTATAACAGCCTCTGTCAAGGGCCTTCACAACATGGCAAAGAAATGGAAGTGGAAACAGCCATGTGCAGAATAGGCTGAGCATATACAGTGACCTTGCTTTATAATACCCACTCCCATGATAACTATCTCACTCCATGAGACCAGCAGTGATTCTTTCAGAGGATAAGGCTCCCATGATATCATTTCCTTGCACTAAATCCCACCTATTAGAGATTCCACTACCTATAGAAAACACTACATTGGGGATCAGGCTTCCAGCATATTATCCTTTGGGAGACATAGTCAAATCATATCTGAACCATAGCAAGAAGGATTGAAGTCAATGGACATTTGGGCCACCTCTTCATATAACTTATGCTTTCAGGACTGGCTCAAAGCTAATTTTATATATACTGTAGCCATTTGATGATGGAATATGATTGGGAACACTCAGTGATCTGACTTGATGCATTGGACAACAGTCAGCTCAGGATGAAAAGCTCAGATTGCATGTAACCTAGTGGCCCATGGTTAAGCATTCACTCTCTACCAAGGCCCAGTAGCAAACCACAAGTTTTTTCTCAAAGTAGTTATCTACCAAAGATAGCAGTGCTTTGCTCTAAACTCCTAATGGTCTGTATTATGATTCACCTATTTAGGCCTGCCAAAGGATTCAAACAGCTTCAATATCTGCCACTCACACTTCAAACATCATTGGATCTATCTGATCATGAGACCCAAGTGGCAGAGCAGCTTGTACAGAAACCTGGACTGGTTGCAGAACCTTTTCTTGCTCTAGGTCTCATTCAAACTAGCAGGCTCTCAACTTGCTCAGTAAATATTTCTAGTACCACATACAAATGAGAAATAAATTTTCTCCAAAGTCCAAAGAAGCCCACTAAGCATCATGCCTCTTTTTTGATTGTAGGAGAGGCTAGATGCAACAACTAATCGTTTACCTAAGAAAAGGTGTGTTAACATTCACCACACTACAGGACCCCTAGAAATTTAACTGAGGTGGATGGCACCTGAATTTTAATAAAAAATATTCCATAACCTCTGAACATTAAAATATCTTACTAATGAATCTATTGTGGATGTCGCTTCTGGCTCACTGAGTCCAATGAGCATAATTCTATCAATGTAATGCAAAATTATGATGTGTAAAGCGAATTGTGATGTGTTGTGGAAGGGAAAGACAATCAACACCCTGCAAACTAAATTATTGCATAGGAAGGTAAGGTAGTAAAAGTATATTGCTGGCCTTGCCAAGAGAAAGCAAACTGTTCTGGTAGTCTTAGTAAATAGATATGGAGAAAAAAGTATTGCATAACAGTACCAGGAAATGTGATAATTTGCTCAAGCAATGAAACTACATCTGGTATAGCAGCTGCAATTGGAGTCACCACCTGATTTAGTTGGGGGTTCTTAAAAAAAACAAACAAGCAAGAGCTGAACACGATGGCACATACCTGTAATCCCAGCGACTCAGGAGGCTGAGGCAGGAGGATTACAGGTTTAAAGCCAACCTCAGCAACTTAAAAAGGCCCTAAGCAACTTAATGAGGCCCTGTCTCTAAAAGAAGAAGAAAGAAATACAAGGACCAATAGGATATGAAGTTTTCTTCATTTATTTAATTTTTATTTTTAAATTTTAAGTAATTATTTCACATGATTTTCAGAGCCCCCAAATCCAAAATCTGTAGGGGAGGCCATGAGGCTAGAATCTCAGGCAAAACTGATGCTGTAGTCTTGAGTCTGAAATCTTTAGAGCAGGCCAGCAGCTTGGAAATTCAAGCAGGATGCTGATGGGACATAATTCCTAGGAAATTCCAGGGTTTTTTTCCTCTTAAGACCTTTAACTAATTGGATGAGGTCCACCCACACTGTTTTAGATACTCTCCTTTATTAAAACCATAAATGTTAATCACATTTACACAATATCTTCTCAAGAACATCTTGATTAATGTTTGAACAAAAAAAAAATGGGCACTATACCTAGCCAAGTTGAGACATAATTAACCATCACAGGTATTGTTAAGGTAAAACACGGAAATACATTTTATAAAAGAGGTACACATTGAAGATCCTTAAAAGTAGTCCAATTGGATAAACAACTGATTTCAGCAGTTTTGTGGCTCCATAACAGTAATTTAGCAACAGCAAAACGTGCCTGTGTGTGTCAAAATAAGAGATGCTAAGGTGTTTGAAGCACTCCATTTGATAAAGGAAGCACTCAATAATTATGGCAATCCAGATGATCTTAGAAGCCACCTTGGCACATCTCACTGTTCTTATGTGGCGTGTCTCTACTGGAAGAAAAGTGATCAGAAAGGCTTCAAGGCTAACACAGCTGAGTAAAAGAGAACTGATATGTACATTTGCAATCTGTAAATTCTGCCTCAAGGTTGATTGAACAGAATATGATAATATTTCACTCTTTATCACATCTTGAATCATGGCAGAAAAGATGCTACAACCCACTAAGATGTCTGCCTGAGCTATGTTACTAATAAATACTGCAGTAGATTTTCTGGATACAAAAGGTAATGTTAATATCAGTGTGACATACACACTGGCAAACAATCCCAGCAGAGTGACGATGATGTTTGGAGAAGGTAGGACTAGATACTGGACATATTTGAATGTCAGGTACCTTCGGAGATCTTTCATATGGTCTCGATTTGTAAAAACACTAAATTGAGTGAGATTCCTGTAGTGAAGTAGAGAAGGAAAATGATATGAGTCTATGAAAAACAACATCTTAAAGTCACTTAAAATATGGTTTGGTCCAAGAAACTCAATATTTTAGCACACAAATGTGTTGATAAACTTCCCATGGTTAGACCTGTTTTTGTTTTTACTTTTTTATTAGAGCATTTTATTTATACATATTATTTGTGTTCTTTTTGACATAATTATACATACAAGGAATTTGATTTCAATACCCATTCCCACTTCCCTTTCCTCCCTTTCTCCCTCCCACTTTTCTCTTTCCTATATTCTGCTGATCTTCCTGTCACTCCTTTATTTATTTATTTTTATTGATATTTACAATAGGTCATGCTGCCATGTGAAATTACACCTTACTTATGGTGACAAGGATAACAAGGACAAAAGTTCTCCCTTCTATTTAATTGTTTTCTATACATAAATTGATATGTCTACTCAGATTTGATCTTACTCTTCTTATCTTAAGCAAATAGAAGAAATTTTCCTGCTCAAAAAATATATGTATTGGGGCTGGGGTTGTGGTTTAGTGGTAGAGAACTTGCCTAGCATGTGTGAGACACTGGGTTCTGCAACCCTCAAATAATTCTTCACATCTGAAAGTAGAATAACTGGAACTTTCTCTCTGCTCATCTGAATCCTCCTTTATGTCTTTAAAATGATTAACCACACAACACTAGCATAGAGCTTTGCTTGAGGTAGGTAAAACTTCATTGACATACTGAGTCACTTCATGAGGAAAGCATAAAACATTAACTGAACAACTCAAATAGTTTTTCCCTCTCTTTCTCTCTCCCACCCCCCTTGCATGCTCCCTCTCCCTCTCCCTCTCCCTCTGTCTCTGTCTCTGTCTCATTAAAATAGTTGGAAATATTGGTGAAAAGATAGTGAATATTAACTTTGACTTAGTGATTTGTAAAGTTAAACTAAAGCTAAATTGAGAGTTAAGCTGATATAAAACCTAAAGAGAGTTATTTTGAAGGAGCTTTTACTTCAAAGAAAGCTATGTAATCTTTTATACCTTTGATAAGTGTCTTTAAAATTCCAGGCATGCAGTTTGTTTCTGATATATTAGCTGGTTAAAAACATCATTGTTTCCAAGATTTTTTGTAGATGGACAGAATATTTTATTTATTTATTTTTATGTGGTACTGCTGAGGATGGAACCCAGTGCTTCACATGTGCTAGGCAAGCACTCCACCCCTGAGCCAAAGCCCCAGTCCTCTGTTTCCAAGATTTATGACTAACGAGAATACCCACAAATGTCAGGAATTCAAATGCCTTCAGGGTACAGAGAAGTCTTCTAAATGGGTCTTTATAGGAAGAGAACAGCTAATAATCAGCTCCATCCTATCATTGCCATTAGATAGCATAGTCATACCTTTTTATTTTCCATGAGCCCAAAGTCAGACTTTTAGGTGAGATCACTCAAATTTTTAATGTGGGCAATTGTTTGTTTGTCTAGTGTTTTTTTTAAACACCATGCAAACAAAAAGCTTAACTGCCACTTTGCAATTTTTAATTTTGAGTCCTGCAAATATCACACCTGACAAGAAAATTACAGTCTAATATCTCTGATAAACAATAAATGCAAAAAAAACAATAAATGCAAAAATTGTCAATGAAATTCTAGCAAATTCAATATAGCATTATATATCAAGGATCAAACATCATGTTGAAGTGAAATTTTATTCCTGGGATGTAAGAATTACTCATGATTTTTTTCTTTTTAAAAATATTTTATACTGTCTCATGATTTCTTTTAAGATTTTATACTTCTCTATGAGGTACAGGTACTATCTTCATTTTAAAGATGAAAAAACTAAGGTCTAGATGGTTTAAGTAACTTGATCAAAGTCACATAGAACAAAGAAGTAAGAGAACCATAGAATCCAGGTTTGTCTGACTTCCAAATATTTTTTTTTATATCTGTCCTAACATGTTTTTCCAAGAGCCAACCAAAGCTTACATTTTGATTCTTTTTATTAAAGTGGAGTCTTATTGTGGGATGTCAACACTTAAAGAGTTTAAAAAAAGAAAGATACTTGATGGTTTTCTTTGCACCTCACCCTGCAAACCATTAAAACCCATTATTAAGGTAACCTTGATGTAATTTTACTGTACTTAAGCAAAACCAATTCCCATAAAACAGAGGACTTGATTGACTCTATTTCCAATTTCCTTGTGAAATATTTCAATTTTAGTGTTTCTTCTTAAGATAAAAATATTTTAATGTATTTATTTATCCTACTTTGGAAAAAAAAATTCACATTTTTCCACTCTCCCTCTCTGGGCAGATGCTTATTAGCTAACCAAGATCATATCAGAACAAAGTTGTTGGACAGCCTTATTAAGAAGCTGGTTTCACAGGAAAACGATCCTGTGTCTCTCTCCACCCTCATCCTACACTACTGCTTTCATATACAAGTGAGCAATAATTATAAACCATTAAGAAACTTCAATATATAAAATTATTTTGTGTCAGTCAAAAAATTAAATCAAAAAAGATCAAGGGCTCCCCCTTACTTTCTTCTGGTCAGTGATGTGCTTTCATTAAATTAATTGTCCCTGATTTATGTTTGGTGCAATCCATTCTAACCTCCTCCAGGACCTTACTCTATCAGAATCCCTTTCCTCTTTTTCAACCAATGAAAAAGTTCCACTATATTTCAACCTATAAACTCAAAGAGGAAATTTTCTATGCTTCTATAGCCCCTACCTGTTATCTCCCTTCCTCTCTGTTCTTTGAAACAATCAGACTTCTTGAATGACTTGTCTATCTTCAGTTTCACTACTTTATCATTTTACGTTTTCTCTTCAACCTATACAGTCTGACTTCTATCCCCAATATTTGTATAACTCTCCTTTCACTAAGGCTACCAATCATCCAACAAATGAAGATCCTTCTGTTAATGGGCTTCTTTTCTTCATTTGATACTCATGATTATGCCATCCTTGTTGATAGGTTATATCTCCTTAGTTTCCGCGATGCCATATTCTATGCCTCCTTCAGTGATTCCTGATCTTCGTTCACTCTTAAAAATGTTGATATTTTCTAGCACTCCATCATCATTCCACTTCCCTTTAATACCTACACATTTGTATAAAACTCTGTTTTCAGCCAAGATCTCTTTTAAGCCTCAAATCCAAATATCCAGCTGGGCATAGTGGTGCAGACGTGTAATCCTAGTGGTTCAGGAGGCTGAGGCAGGAGGATACATGAGTTCAAAGACTGTCTCAGCAACTTAGCCAGGTCCTAAGAAACTCTGTGAGACCCTATATCAAATAAGAAATATAAAGGGCTGGAGATATGGCTCAGTGTGTTCAATTCCTGGTGCCAATATGTATATGTATATACATATGTGTGTGTGTGTGTGTATGTGTGTGTGTATCCATCTACCTGCTAGATCTCTCTATCCAGATAAATTTAAAGTACTTATGACTCTACCTTCTTTTTTACCATCCTTTTCAAGCTCCTGCTCAAACTCTTGCCTATTTAACCTTATGCAGATTTTTCAAATATTTTCCTTTATCTCTTCTTCTTTCCTTTCTATCTTTACCTCCACTGCCTTTGTTTAGAATCTTATCATTTCATAACTGGTTCACCGCAATAATTCCCCATCTAATTTCTTGTAATCCAAACTTGCTGCATAATCTTTCAAGTGAACTGGCTAAATAAATGTTCAAATCCTTGCTCTATTATTTATTAGCTGTATGATGCTGGACAGGCTACTTAACTTTCATACCTCATTTTTCACTCCTATGAAATGGAGATAAGAATAGTACCTAAGTCATAAAGATGTCATAGAATTAAAAGTGTTACTATGTAAATAAAGCCGTTGAGGCTATGCCAGGCACAGCAAGAGCTGTCTAAGTGTGAGTTGTTCTTTTAGTTAAAACATGATCAAGTGATGCCTCTGTTAAAAATCCTTCATTGGTTTCCACTACTTAAAACGGTATAATGTAGGCTTTTAGACATGGTGTTTCATAATCTGCCTCTTGACAACTTCTCCTGACCACTCTCTTACCACTCTCTAACTCAAACTTTACACTGCAATACCCAAGAATTCATTGATTCTTATATACTTTGCCAAATGTCTCTTTTTCACATAACTCTATTTATACTCTCTCTTCCCCCTTGACATTCCTTTCCTCCTATTCTTCATCTGAGTAACTATTAGTCATTCTTTAAAAACAAGCTTACTCTTCAAGGTGATTGATTAATTTTACAGGACTATAATCTATAAAATTGGTAAGGCTGTAGAGTTTACAAAAATGAGTTATTTCTACTTATATGTGTGACCTATAATCTCTCATTTCATATCCTGCCATTATCTTTTCTAAGCTAGGCTAGGTATACCTTCTCTGTGTTCCTACAATACCTCATGAGTATCTGTCCACTGCATTTGCTCATAGTTTTACAATTATTCACTTACTTATACACCTCTAAACCAGGAATCCCTTGTGGACAAACAAAAGATCTTATCCTGGTTAACTATCATGCTAGAGGGCATATAATAGTTACTCAGTAAATTGTGATGAATTACAAAGTGTTGAAAACATTTCTTTAAGCTCCTCAATCATTCATTCAACCCTTACCAGGTACCTTTTATGTGGCAAAAAATATGTGCTAAGCAGTAGAGATTCAAAGATAAATATGAAATCGATGGGATATCAAGGATTCAGAGTTCCACAAAGAAGAAAACAAAAGTACATGGATAATTACACTGCAGGGTGATAAACACCAAAACCCATGGTGGCAATGACTGACATTATCACTTCCAACTTCTCCTTTTCCATTCTGTCCTCTCATTCTGGGTTATTCCCAGTGTGCCTCTCTTCACTCTTCACTAATTTCTCTCAAATACATCATTGGCATATATTCTGAAGAGTTAGAACACCAACTGAAGTATTTTAGAGAATAGTTTCTGGAAATTTATAAATAAGGAAAAGTATTATGCACTTACATCATTCCAGTGACCATCAATAACTGAGACTGCAGGAAAAATATAAGAGAAAGAAAATTTTAGTAACTGTGAGTTTTTCTATGACCAGGATTCCATATATTTTAATAAACCTCATATAAATTTTCCATCCCTTTGTCATGTGCAAAGAATAACCCCTCAAAAGTTGCTAGCTCTGGGGCTGGGGTTGTGGCTCAGTGGTGGAGCATGCTTGCCTAGCATGTGTGAGTCACTGAGTTCAATCCTCAGCACCACATAAAAATAAACAAATAAATAAAGGTATTGTGTCCATCTACAAATAAAAAATATTTTTTAAAAAAGTCTCTAGCTGTAAACGGTATATACTTTTCATTTTGCATTCATTTCCTTAAACTCATTAACTAACATTTCATAAGGGCCTACTCTGTTCTAGACACTAAGGATAAAGTAATGTACAAAGCCAACATGGTCTGCCTTCCTGCCTTCCAACAGACAAGTGTAGGAGACAGTCAAATGAGAAATCAAAAATTATGATACAGTTGGATGAGTGTGTCATATATAATATTGCCATTTCCATCTTTGTTAAATAGTATTAAATCAAATTGAAAACCATTGGAACTCCCACCCATGGCCCTCATCCAACAAATGAATGTCCCTATGTTCTCACAAATGAAATCCATCCACTGGAATCTCATTCATAATCCCCACACATCTCTAATAAAACCATAGACAGGCGGACAGCTAATATAATTACCTAATTTATGGTAATGTTCTCATGGGTTCTTTTCCCTGGTAAAACTTCATTTTAGGAATAGCCTTCTAGAAGTCATGCCTTAATACATGACCTATACAAATAATGTTACTTAATTTTAAGAATGCTAGTTATTCTAAGAAGGATATTTGTAGACATACTATACTTTGGGACCACCTTTCATATTATGCCATGTACATATGGATGCATCCCCAATGAGTCCTCTGTGCTGCAGATTTCCCATAGCTCTCTACCTTTTCTTTTACCCAGCAGGCTTCAAGAAGCAGTCAGTCACTTTCTCTGTGGCAAAGTAAAAATTCAAGATATCCAAGGGTCCTGAGGAAGGGAAAAACGTATTTCAGTAAAGTATAAATCAATGAATATGTTATGAAATACCTATTATATGTTAGATATCATATTAAATGTTGGGCATAGACAGATAAAAAGATCTGAACTCCACCTTCATGGTGTTTATAAGTGGAATAAGGATGAAGGCACTGGGTACAATATGAAGTACTGAAAGGCAGAGAAGCTAAAAGTACCATAAGCTCTAATTTAAAAGAAAATCTATAAAGTAAAAATAAATAAAGACAAATAAATCTCAAAGAAAAATATCCCTTACTTCTCATTTTGTTCAAAAGGACCAGATAAGGCTGGATTCCTTGCTCCCATCTCAAAGGGAAGGGAAGGGGAAGGGGAAGGGGGAGGGGGAGGGGGAGGGGAGGGGAAGGG